CTTTCAAAAATGCAAAACATGGAGCTTACTAATGAAGACTTGATGGAACTGGATGCCTAGAGAAAGGATGAAGACAGACTAGAGGAAGGAGTAACTGAAGAACCAAAGAGATTCACAACTAGGGGATTTTCTTTACTCGAAGAGGCACGTTAGTTTTTGGGGCACAGGACCCAAATGTAGAACAGCACACAAAGACTGTAGCAGCTGTTCAGAATGCAGTCCAGTGCTACTGTGTCATCTATGACTAGAAAAATGGAGTTACTTCCCTCATAGCTCTGTCGGTAAAGAATCTGCCTGCAATATAGGAGACGCTGGTTCGATTCCCAGGTCAGGAAGATCCTCTGGAGAAGGAAATGTATTCTTGCCTGGAGAATCCCACGGACAGAGGAGCCTGGCAGTCTATAGTCCACGGGGTCTCAAGGGTCGGACACGACTTAGCGACTAAACACCACCACCACCACCCAGAAATCACTGGATCAGTTTTTTCAAGAGGGTAGATGGAATTGAATCCAGCAAAGAGTCAGAACCTGTGCCATCAACATCAGGCGTAAGTGACATCGCAGCTCTACCACCTCCCACCTCCTCTCCCTCCCCCAGCCAGTAATTCTCCTTGCCTGTTCACTTGATGCCAGCTCCTGTATGCCAGCTGTTGTGCTGTCCTGCTGTGCTTTTCAAGGTACTGTACTCTAAGATTAAAAATGTTTTATTTTTTGTGTTTCTGTGTTTTGTGTTTTTGTGTTTCTGTTATGTATTATTTGTGTGAAAACTATTATAAACTTATAACAGTACAGTACTATATAGCTGATTGTGTTAGTTGGGTATTAAGCTAACTTGGTAGGACTTAGGAACAAATTGGACTTATTACTACAAATGCATGAAATACATTATAATTTGAAACAGGAATTGGTTTGATGGAGCAATTCTATTCATAGGAATTCTAACTAAGGATAAAATATTTTTAAATTCTCCAAAATGTACGAGCTAGCTTGTACTGATTTGTGGCATTAATGGTGGTGCTTTGTTCTTTTATATACTTTCCTCTGCTCTTTATATTTTCTAAATGTATAAATGCTGTACATTCACATGTTAGGAACAGTCAGCCAAACTTGAGAGCTTCTTTGTGGCCATGACATTAAACCAGAGGTTCTTTCTCTCAGCTACACACTGGAAAGGGATCAGTACAAAGTGACTGATGTCTGGCACCCAAAGATTTGGATGTCACTACTCCTGGGTGAGGCTTAGGTTATCCGGAGTTTTCCAAGCTGCCCAATTCATTGCCAATTGACAGACAACGTTGAGACCAACAGGCATAGTAATTCTCTTGATTGACCTCTGTTTAAAATATGATTGGTTGACTTGCATTCTCCTTCCTATTGAAAAAAATGTTGACTCATCTCCAGGATCGATTTAACATTTCAAGTCAGTTGGCTACTAGTATGTATGCTCTTCTGTGTCCACCAGTTGAGTTGATTTCCAAGATTCAGTTGTATTGGTTTCTAAATCTTTTTATGCCAGTTACATGTTTTTAAATAAATATGAGTATAAGCAGAGACAGAGTTAAATGTTTTTGACCAGCAGCCAAAGCAAGCTGCTTAGAAAAGAAAACCACAATGGTTCATTTTTTCTTCTCTTCTTAAAAACTTATTTTCATGATGGTTCATTTTCTGTGTCAGCTTGGCCAGGCTTCAGTGATCCATTGTTTGGTCAAACATTAGTCCAGATCTTGCTGTGAAGGTACTTTGTAGGTGAGATTAAGCTTTACAATCAGTTGAGTTGAAGTAAGAGACTGCCACAGATAATCTGAATGGGCTTTAGAGCAAAAATCAAGCTTTCCCAGAGGAGAAGGAATTTTGCAGTAAGACTGTCACACAGAAATCCTGCCTGAGTTTCCAGCCTGCCACCTGCCCGGAAGATTTCAGATTTGCAAGCCCCCACATCTGAGCCAACACCTTACAGCAAATTCATATCTGTATCTATTTATCTTACTGGTTCAGTCTCCAAAGAATCCTGACTGAAAGCTGTCAAGTGAGATGTGGGTGAGATAAATGAAAAGGGGAAAGTATCTGGAAAGATCCTGTACTCAGACTGTTGTGCACATGTATTTAAGTTCTCACTCCAGTTAAAATTTTAAAAAATAAAGGTAAATAATAGTTAGTGTACTCCAGGCACAGTTTATGGAAGACAGGTAATCATGGACCTGTACTCAAGGGGTCTTGGCTGTACCTGAAGACAACTGGTGAATATAACTGTCAGGCACTGTGAAAGGTTAGAGGTAGTACTGTACTTGCCAGCTAACAAGTTCATCTGCCACAGGTTCCTGGATGCTGAGGGAATATAAGAGACTCGAAGTCAGGGACGAGGACTTTAACACTCAGAGCACAGCAGGCACCGATTCCCTTTGTCCCAGCAATGCCACAGAGTGGCCCAGGGTGGATGCTATACACGAAGTGGGTTTGCAACACAGCTGAGGGACCCCGAATATAGAGAACCCTAACATTTGTGATGGGCTGCAAGCAAACCTAGCTGAACTTTGCCCAGAAGGAGATGCTATCTTCATTAGACTGGACAGCAAACAAACCTGCCATCTGCCACAGAAAGGGATGCTAGGTCTGTCTTCTAAAATTAGCCACTATCTTCTGCTTGCTATACAAACATCCTTGACAAGATGATCCAGAACCAATGCTCTCAGTGCCTCTGCTCATGAGATGTAAAAAACTGCAAGAAACCTCTGGAGAACTGTACCCCCAAATAAGACAATTTATATAATTAAAGTTAAAACACAACACTTAAGTCATACATAGATCCTTTTTTAATAAGAGTCCTTGGGTGTGGAGAAAAGGGAACCCTCCTACACTATTGGTGGGAATGTAAATTGCAGCCACTATGAAGAACAGTAGGGAGGTTCCTTTAAAAGCAAGAGTTGCCATATGATCCTGCAATCCCACTCCTGGGCATATATCCAGACAAAACTATAATTTGAAAAGATGTATGCACCCCAGTTTCACTGCAGCAGTATTTACAATCATGAAGACATGGAAGCAACCTAAAAGTCCATCAACAGATGAATGGATAAAGAAGATGTGGTACCTACATACAATGGAACACTATTCGGCAATAAAAAAGAATGAAATAGTGCTATTTACAGCAACATGGATGGACCTAGGTTATCATACTCAGTGAAGTCAGTCAGGCAGGCAAAGAAAAATATCACATGATATCACTTATATGTGGAATCTTAAAAAACGATGCAAATGAACTTATAAAACAGAAAGAGACTCACAGACATAGACAACAAACCTATGGTTACCAAAGGGGAATGGTGGGGGAGGGATAAATTAAGAGTTTGGGGCTAACAGATACACACTACTTTATATAAAATAGATAAACAACAATAACAGATACACAGTACTTTATATAAAATAGATAAACAACAATAACAGATACACACTACTTTATATAAAACAGATAACAATAACAGATACACACTACTGCATATAAAATAGATAAACAACAATAACAGATACACACTACTTTATATAAAATAGATAAACAACAATAACAGATACACACTACTTTATATAAAATAAACAACAAAATCCTACTGTAGAGCACAGGAACTATATTCAATGTCATTATAAAAACCTATAATACAAAAGAATCTGAAAATATATATATACACACACACATCTATAAAACTGAACAACCTTGCCCTATAACAGAAACTAACACTGCAAAACAACTACATTTCAATAAAAAGTAAAGAATCCTTAATTTTTTTTTAAATTTTTTATTAGTTGGAGGCTAATTACTTTACAATATTGTAGTGGTTTTTGTCATACATTGACATGAATCAGCCATGGATGTACATGTATTCCCCATCCCGATCCCCCCTCCCACCTCCCTCTCCACCCGATCTCTCTGGGTCTTCCCAGTGCACCAGGTCCGAGCACTTGTCTCATGCATCCAGCCTGGGCTGGTGATCTGTTTCACCCTAGATAATATACATGTTTCGATGCTGTTCTCTTGAAACATCCCACCCTCGCCTTCTCCCACAGAGTCCAAAAGTCTGTTCTATACATCTGTGTCTCTTTTTCTGTTTTGCATATAGGGTTATCGTTACCATCTTTCTAAATTCCATATATATGTGTTAGTATAGTATAATGGTCTTTATCTTTCTGGCTTACTTCACTCTGTATAATGGGCTCCAGTTTCATCCATCTCATTAGAACTGAGAATCCTTGATTTAATTGACTTTTGGTTGTTGTTTAACTGACCAACAGTATTGAAAAAAACAGTGTTAAATAAAACTGCTTCTATTATTTTTCTCTTGGTTCCAGCTTCCTTTCTAGAGACACTCTTGTAAAAGAGATTCCAATATTAATAAAACCATTGGAAATTCCTTAGATATTAAGAAGTGTGTGTTGAACCCATTATTACAAATGACTAAGTACTGCTAATTTTTAAAATTTTTTGGTAATAACTGTATTTTTGCAAATGGAATCTTATACTTCATGTTTCTAGAAAATAAGCATTGCTTTTTTCCATCCATAAAACCAAAGCATTAACAACAACTCAAATATTCCAAGCTACTAAGTGCCTGACAATTATAGTTTGGGGGTAAGTGAAAACAGGTATCAAAAACTTCTAATCTAGGTACATGTGAATCTTCAGATAAATTGAAAGCTGCTGCTCTCTCCAAATGTCCATAAGTAGGCATAAATGTCCAGAGTAGGCATAACTTTTCAGCTGAATATATGAATTACAATTAAGTATAATTAAATTGATTGTAACTTACTAGAGTCAGAACCATCTTCTTTAAGAAGGAAAGGATTTTCTACGCAATGCATGAACTCAGTCATCAGGGATGGTTCAAACTTGGCTGCATAGTGGAATCGAGTCACTGAAGGTCTTTAATAATCCTAATATCTGGATGTTCCATGGGCCAATTAAGTCAGAATCTCCAGGGGCAAGGCCTAGGCATCAGTTTCTTTTTTTTCTTTTTACTGAGGTATAACTGACATACTCCTGGGAAGGAAAGTTATAACCAACTCAGATAGCATACTAAAAAGCAGAGACATTGCTTTGCCAACAAAGGTCCGTTTCGTCAAGGCTATGGTTTTTCCAGTGGTCATGTATGGATGTGAGAGTTGGACTGTGAAGAAAGTTGAGCGCTGAAAAATTGATGCTTTTGAACTATGGTGTTGGATAAGATTCTTGAGAGTCCCTTGGACTGCAAGGAGATCCAACCAGTCCTTCCTAAAGGAGATCAGTCCTGGGTGTTCATTGGAAGGACTGATGTTGAAGCTGAAACTCCAATACTCTGGCCACCTCATGTGAAGAGTTGACTCATTGGAAAAGACCCTGATGCTGGGAGGGATTGGGGGCAGGAGGAGAAGGGGACAACAGAGGATGAGATGGTTGGATGGCATCACCGACTCAATTGGCATGAGTTTGAGTAAATTCCGGGAGTTGGTGATGGACAGGGAGGCCTGGCGTGCTGTGATTCATGGGGTCGCAAAGAGTCGGACACGACTGAGTGACTGAACTGAACTGAACTGACATACAGAATTATTAGTTTCAGCTATACAATCTGATGATTCAATACTTGTATATGTTGTCAAATGATCACCACTGTAAGTGTAGTCAACATCCATCACCACACAGAGCTACACATTTTTTTAAATTAATTTCATTTTAAACAATATTTTAAAAAGCTCCTTGGGGGCCCCATATGCAACCAAGTTCCAACTACTAAACTAGAGGACTTAGCCTTGCGGTATAGCTCTCAAATTTTACTGTATGGAACCCCGTGCCTGCCACACCTGTTTCTGATCCAATAGGTCTGGGGAGGGACCCAACAATCTGCATTTCTCCTAAGCTCCCTGGCAATACAGATGCCACTAGTCCAGGGCCACACTTTGAGACCCACTCCCTACAGAATTAAGGTTATGTTAAAAACATCCTTGCCCCAGGGTGGTTATTTCAAATCTCCCCACATTAGCATGACTTTGAGAAAGGACCAGGCAACTAAATCTGCAGAAGCAAGCATCCCAGGATGATGGAAGTTAACACACCCTATTTTCTGCTTTTCTTTTTCTAGTGCCCTGAAGCTTAATGATAAACTCCTTCAAGGACCATCAAAGACCAAATAGTAGGCAGTGGCCCAATACTTGGAAATCTCCACCCTTTCCCCAAAACAGCTGGAATAGTCCTCCCACTCATTACCCAGCCTACATATTTCCAGCGACTGACACACACTCGCTTTCTGAGATGGCCCACACTGTCTGTGGAGTGTGTTTCTTTAAAATAAATCAGTGCACTTCTTACCTGCCACTTTGTGATGGGAATGTTGGAGGAAACACCTGCGAGAGAGGAAAGGCCTCCAGTGGAAGAGCACGAGGCCCACTGACCAACTACAGCATTTCTTCTAAGGAACAGGGTGGCCTTAACTGAGCCAGTCACCTTATCCTCCAGCCTTAGTTTCTTCATCTGCAAAATGAGTCTAGAATGTTTCATCTAACTCCGAACTCTTATCAATTCCATGATATTTGACAAGAGAGGTGATGGGCTCTAGGATGTGACCACGGAAGACTCTGGCCACCTGTCACATGAGAGTTCAGTCACTGAAGGCCCAGGACCCCCATCACCTGGGCAGTGCAGAGGGATCTCTGCTTTCTGGATGTCACTGAAGCCAGACTAAAATCCAGCCACCTCTTTAAAGCTTACCTTAATCAGTTTCTTGACTCAAGAAACAAAAACAGCAAACACACCTTGTGATCCATTCTAAAGCTGAAACCATTCTGAGAGGAAGTGGAGGGAGCAAGAAAGCACTTCGTGATTTATTAAAATCTCATCATAATTCATGGCCGACGTAGGGATCACTGTTTGAAGCCCTGCATCAAAAGGATAATGCAATTATTTTGGTGTAAATTTCATGTTGTAGCAAGTACTGGTGTTCATATATTTAAAGTGCCTTATGGGGACTTCCCTGGTGGTCCAGTGGTTAAGATTTAACCTTGCATGCAGGGAGTGTGGATTCAATCTCTGCTTGGGGAGCTAGGATCCATAATACTTTGTGGCCAAAAAACCAAAACCGAAGCAATACTATAACACATTCAATAAAGACATTTCAAAAGTATAACTTATGACTACCATTGTCTTATCCACTTTGTTTTAAAATGATTTTCTACTTGAGACTGAACCAGTGGAAGGATGGAGCTCCTCTGGAATTCTGACCTTAATGTCAGGACAGAGGATTAACAAAGAAGGTCCTGGTTAAAATAAATCTATGGTTCTCAGTAAGAGGCAATTTTGCCCCCAGGGAATACGTGGCAATATCTGGTGACATTTTTAGGGTTGTCAAAAATGTGTGTCCTGGCCCCAAAGGAAGGAGGCAGGCTACCACCGGCTTCTAGACAGTAGAAGCGCAGGGATGCTGCTGAACATCCCATGATGGGAAAGACAGCACTGCAACAAAGAATTATTTAGTCCAAAATGCCAATAGCACTGAGGTTGAGAAACCTTGAAATAAATGTATCCAGATATACATAACTAATAAAGACCTATTGTACACCACAGGGAATTCTACTCAATACTCTGCAATGGGTTATATGAGAGAGTGGGTATATGTGTGTGTGTACATACATATATGCATGTGCAGTTGCTCAGTCGTGTCCAACTCTGTGATTTCATGCACTATAGCCTGCCAGGCTCCTCTCATGGGATTTCCCAGGCAAGAATACTGGGGTGGGTTGTTACTTCCTGCTCCAGGGGATCTTCCCAACCCAAGGATCGAACTCATCTCTCCTACATTGGCAGGCGGATTCTTCACCACTGAGCCACCAGAGAAGCCCATATGTGTGTGTGTGTATACATATATGTGTGTACAGTGTATATATATATATGTACATGTATATGTAGGTATATATGTACAGCTGATTCACTTTGCTGGACACCTGAAACTAACACACTGTAAATCAACCAAACTCCAATAAAAATAATTTTAAATTAATAAATACGTGCAATTCCCCCGCCCCCTCAAAAAAGAAAAGAAATAGATTTTCTGGAGGCAAAAGGAAATGGCCAGAGGGATGAAGAGGGGCAGGAGCAGAGGGACTCTGTCCCTGAGGGGAGATGTCTGACCCCAGAGAAAGGCTGTGCTCCTTCATACATCTGCCTTGCCTCCTCCACCCCATCTTGAAATGCTTCCATCAGGGACATTGATTGAAGGTAAAATTGGTTCTGAGGAAAATACGTACTAAACATAAGAAGCTAATAAACACAGAGAAAAAATGATCATCAGCAGAAGCACACCAGAAATGGCTATGAAAACAACAGACTATCTTAAAGCAGGTTTTTAACCTGGTAGAGATGTAGTCACACACCTTTGAAACAAGCTTGCCTTTGTTCTACTTACATGTAATGCTGGGTATGAGCATCTTGGTAGGCTCAACATAAACAATTCTGATTGTAGATTTTTTTTTTATAATACTGAAAGAAGAAAAATATACCAACAATATTAAAAGCAAACACCAAAACACCCCACAGCACTGCCCTTGCTCCAAATGAAGGATCATGTCTACCAGGGTGGGGTGATCATCCTTCCGTGTTGCTCACATCACACGCTTGTGTAGGAAATAATCCATGACACATTCCATTTATCTGGAACTTTCATCAGAAGCCCGTCCTAACACAGTGATCTTCTAGCAATTGCGCCACCAAGAATGAACGGTGAGTGAGTGTGAGACCCCCTTCTTCACTTTGCTGGTGGCAGAAACCATCAAGGCAGGCAGGAAGACTCCAGATACAAATCTTCCATTTGACATCTGTCTGAAACGAAATGTTCAGAAGAGTCAAAATACAGAGAAGTATAATGTATTTCTCAGATGGATTATAGTTCCTATAACTTGCACAAATATAACATCTCCAGTGACAAAGGTTGAGACTCCTCTTATGGCTGCACCAACGCAAATCAGTAAGGAATTACTGACTGCAAAAACCAGCCTTCTTGTGCTAACTGGCTGTCCTCCATGTGCTCTTTTATTCACAGGACATTGTCCATGAGTTGTGTCTTCATGGACGAGCTGCTCTTTGTAGGTTATGAAAACCATCAGTGGGGAAACGAGTGCACAGTTACCGTGGAGTGGGATCTGCCCCTTTCAGTACTTTAGGAGGCTGCTCCAAAGACCTGGTCCTAAAAACAGGATATTCTGAGACTTCAAGAAATTTGGGACCCTTCCTTGGTTCCTTGGATGAGTTTCAGTGGCAGTTTCTGAGTTCTTTTTTGTTTAGTGTGGACCATTTTTTTTTACAGTGTTTATTACAGTTATTATTATTTGTTACAATATTGCTTCTGTTGATGTTGTTCTTTTGGCTGCAAGGCATGTGGGATCTTAACTTTCCAACCAGGGATCAGACCCGCACCCCCTGCATTGGAAGGTGAAGTTTCAACCACTGGATCACCAGGGAAGTTCCCATGAGTTCATTCTATAGCAAATGTACGTGAAAATGGGCCCCCAAAGGATCACTCTGATGATCTGACAAGGTGACACAAATTCAGTGTAAAGCCTCACAATTTTTTGTAATTCATGATCAGTCTTGGCGTTGAGGCAGGAAGATACTACATTGAATACTCCCTTCAAAGCAGAGGAGGGTGATGTCCATCAGCGAACATTTGGGATTCTCTGCCTTCTGCCTGGACTGTTCCCTGGGGTCTCTAAAGGTCACTTACAGCTTCAAAGGCAGCTCTGCCAAAGGACTGGCAGTCAAGTCAGATCTTGAATATTTTTCCTAAGAGTACCCTCTTTTCCCTCTTTTACTTCTGACTAAAGCCTTCAGCTTCTACAGGTAACTGACAATGACTTTTTTAAAAAACTGTGATACCAGAGGTCACTGGCACATTGTTAGGTTTGTCATATAGCCTCCTTTTTGTTGCAACTGGCATAAAGCCAGTTCAGAGCCACGAGCATGGGATCCTTTAGCCAAGGTGATGCTGGAAAACCAGAACCATCCACGTTAGAAGAAAGAATCCGAGTGACCAAGCAACTTGGCACGCCCAGGATTGCAGGATTTCCTGGGATGTAGGACTCCCAGAGTTTAACACTGAGCAAGTCCCCTGCAAGCCCAAACATGATATTCACCTGATGGGGGAGGGACCAACTTTGCCACATTAGAACCACAGCCTTCAATTAGTAGAAACAGTCCAGCTAAATCTAGCATGGAAGTCATAGCCTATTAAAACTGCTGGAACTTGACCAACCATCTACCTCCTCATTTTCTCAAAGATACCAGACTCAGAGTGGTTGTTGACCTTTTCCCCAGGTCACACAGCTTGCTGGTAGTATATCAGGGACCAGATCCTGGAACACGACACTCCCAGTTTAGGGCACTTTCCACTGCATCACATTTTTTGCTTTGCTCTTAACGCTCTTGTAGAATGAGTTCATCTGTATTTTCTTACAGGACTTGACTGTTAAAACAGTGAAAATTGCTGTTTATATTGGGCAACACTTTTTTTTTTCATGTTGGGATAGTGAATGGCATCAGGAGGCTGTCACTGGCCTCAGCTGGCTATTCCCATTACTACATGGCATCCACTCCTGTTATTTTACAGCCCAGGGAAAAATCTTCAACACGCAACCACTAGTCATCACGAGATGCCACACTTGGCGGAGAAGGTCACATGCCAGGACAATGTACCCCTGGGTGATCGGCTGGTTTGTGACTAGCTCACAGGCACACAGATTAGCATCTACAAAGTGAATGAAAATCTTGCTTCTTCATACCTTACATTCTTTCAGGGGGAAGACTTAAGATGCCCATTCTAAAAAATTGAGGTTAATGTAGAAAACAATCAGTTCTAAGCACTTTCCAGGTAACATCTTATTTAATCCTCATCACCTCCTGAGTTACTATCATCCTGTTTCACATACAAGGGAACTGAGGCATAGAGGGGTAATTAGCTAGCCCCCAAAGGTTCTGTTGTTGTTTTAACTCTAGTAAGTGGTGGAGTGTTTCTGAGCCTCACGCTCTTTAAGAAGAGAAAACAAGAGCTCAGGAGAGCAAACCAATCCAGAACGTGGACTCTGGAAGGTAAGGGCAAAGATGGAAGGCTGTTCCTGGGGTGCAGGAGATAAACCAACACGGTGAAGATCTGCAGTGAAAAGGAGCAACTCTGTCGACTTCTGCGTGCAGCGCACACAAAGGATAACGTAGTATGTTTCGGCCCGACCTCCATCTTCATTGGCTATCCTCACTTAACCATAGTAAGTACCAAACACCTTATGCTGTCCTGCATCAGTTCATGCTGGAGTACAGCCACTGCTTCTGGAAAATCCCACCATGAAGTACCATCGGTAACAGTCCCTTCACAAAGTTCTTTCTCAGTTTCCCAGCCTCACTCGATCCTCTGAACCCCTTAGTATCACATCTTCCCCTTTGACTTTTAGCCCATCCACCCAGGAGCTCGGCCAGTGGGTTGGATAGGACCTACCACATGAAATCAAACACTTCCAAAGAAGTGTGACAGCATTAATGAGGTGAAACTGGCAAGTTGGTGATTTTGATATTTCCATCTCTCAATTTTCTTCCTCCCTTCCAGTACATTCTATCCTGTTCTGTCTTAAACTGTGATCTTCTGCAGCAGGCTTAGTTTTAGGTCTTTATATTTCACTGGGAATATATTTCACTGGCACCATTTAAGACAAAATGGTGCCACTCTCAGCATTATCCACACATTAAAGCTGAGCTTTCCTGGGAGAACCATAACCAGAAATTTACTTTGTCCCTATAAGAGTAACTTAAAGCATCACAGAACAGGTAGTTGTTTTATGGGAGCACAAAACTCTTCCTGGTGCTTCTGAAATCAAAGCATGTGAAAAACTTTTAAGGGGTCTACATTTAGGTTTGATCAGTTCCAACTATGAACACAACTACTCTGATGTGAAAACACAGTGCAGTCTTCAATTTTATAGGAAACATCTGGAATTCCTAAGTGGCCCAGATACTATGCTTTGGGGCAAGGAAACTGCTCACCAGTTCTTCAGAAACACCTTCAAAATGGAGAAGAGCTGACTTCAATGAACTTCTGCTTTTCTGATAATTTTATATGCTGGGCTCTAGCCATGTTGTAGCAAACACTTCAAGGTACCCCATAAAAAAGGTCACTCCATCAAAACATATTACTCCATAATGATTATACAAGGTATGAAAGAAAGAAGGAGCATGATTTTATTGAAATCTTTTAGTACAGTGTTGGAAGATCTTCGAATCCTATATTCTAAAGCAATACAAGCACTGCAAATGATGTTAGTTCCTGAATCTAGTTGACATCATCTCTATCACAGGAAAGTTATCATACAAATCTCTTGAAGTTGATGGATGTAATTTAAGTTGAAAATGGAGCAACTTTGGTATATTCATATTTCTCTGGATCCCCTTTTTGGCTAGATGTACACCAAGTCGATTGCCATTCAGTAGAGTTGGACAGAACCAGCAGTATGTTTGGTGGTTTCATTGAAATGTTTCCGCACGAGCAGCAAGGGATGCACAAGCTCAAATTAAGCAGCTCTCAAGGCCGTCTTCATCATCTTTCTTTGAACTGGACCATCAAATGCCACTGCATAGGGCTAAGTCTAGTCTAGTTAGTTGACAGATGAACCAGAAGTACTTTAAAATACAAAAGTGAAGCTAAATAACCATGGAAACAATCAGCTCTTAATTCAGAGAATGACAATATCACTTTTTTTATATCTTTATCCGAATATCATTTTTGAAAATGAACTTTAAAATTACATGTCAGCTCTATAACACACTTAGATCTATGTGTTGGACTAAATCTTCAAGGAAATCACTGCTTTAAATCAACTGGTTTTAGTCACTGTTAACATGTCTATGCTGGGATGCCAAGGTGTCTAGCTGCGTGCATTCATAACTATATTTTCACTCCATAGAAATTTAAGAAATACAGATTATCACTCATTTGTCAAAAAGAATAATTACATACATCTAAATAGACTCTCTATATATCTCAAATCAACTCTGTCTAGATAGAGTCCATCGCATTGCATAGCTGACTTTAGCAGGTTACACCATCATTTTTTTCTCAAAAGCCATTTTAAGGTACAGCAAAATGCTAGTTTCTGCAAGGATTAAAACAATCCTTTAAAACTTTGATTTAACCTCTGCTGTGATGAAGTTTGAAATCTTAAAGATTGCTATTCAGGTTTGTTAATAATTTAAAGAGATCTCATTTTTCCACCCAATGAATTTAGATCCGAGACTCTCCTCTGAGTTTTGAGATTCAGCAGGAGGAGGAGACTTTTCTTTCTTTTTTCTGGGCTTTGTCTATGTAGGCACGTTTTCTTTTTTGTGGGTGGAAGCACTCAGCTGGTTGTCCACCAACGTGCCCTTAGTACAATTCAGAGTTGCTGCTTGCTGCCTGCCACTGAGGAGGGGGCACCTCACTCAGGAGCCATCAAAGGTCACCTGTGAATAAAGCTCTCTTCCCTCCACCATCACTCCTTGGGCCACCAATGAACATTCACTTCATGGAGCAACTAATGCTTACCTGTCTGTCCTTTATTTGGTAGGCCCTTCTCACCTATGTAACAGCTTTAGCTATAATAATCTATTGCCTAGAAGGTCTGCTACTTGTGATTACAGAAGACCAAAGACCACGAGGTCACCACTAAGGAAATAACGTTTAAACATGTATTTGGAGGCACTCACAAAAAATTTACCCTTTTATCATGTTAAAATGCAAAATAGAGGTGGGACTAGTAAAGCTACGAGGACTTGGGGAAGAAGTCTTTGTTGCGGTGGAGATCCACAACATGAAACTCTTGGGGAAAAGAGCAGAGTAAAAGCTAGATCTAAAAACAGGACGTTAAAAAGACAAGATGGCAGGACATGAGGTGCATCTGGGGTGGACAGAGCTTGAATGCGACTGTGAACCTGGAGATCATCTCAAAAGAGTTTCTCAATCAGATCTATTGCTGGACAAACTTTTGGAATTTTAGAACAGTGTATTTCATGAAAGTGACAGTCATGCTTTTCAGAAGTGGCAATAAAAAAATACACTGCTTCTGAGGTGTCTATTGTTTACCAAAAATAAACGTGCCAGTGGCCATCTTCAGCTATTGATGCATTTCATCCTAATTAAGCATAATGACCAACATGGTTTCCTGGAAACCTGATCACTAAAAACAAATATTCAAAATTCAGGGTGTTATTAATTCTCTAAGGTTCACTCAAAAGTGAAAGACTAATTCTCTACAGGGTTTCACCCAAATGTCCATAGACATTATCGTTTTATATTTACAAAAAGGCTTTAATCTGAAGTGACCTTTGGTAGCCCCGAAATTCTTAAACTATGAACTTCCACAATGAAATTATAAACTTGAAAGTTGTGGCCTCAAAGTACTGACAGAACAAAGGGGGGGAAAAAAAGGTCACTTATCAGAACAAGTCAAGATAACAAAAACATTTCTCCTTTAAGACTGTTCACTTAAAAGATCAAATAACCACTGCCCTCCCCACTAAAGTGAAAATAAATGGTCACGATCTTTAAGAGGGGGAAACAGTGGCCTTGGAGTATACACAGACCTGATGCCTTCACATTAACATAACTGCTCAGTCCCAAAGCTAAAAAAATCAGACAAATGCACGCAAGTTAGAAGCCAGACCAGGCTTGCTCCACACCTCACATCTTTACAGTGGGACATGGCTGAACAGGTAAGACACAGATTCACCGTTGTGGGTCCTTCGGATCGCCTCAGCCAAGATCATCGAAATGTCAATAACCTAAACACCAATGAAAAGACAGAAAAGCGGAGAGGAAAGTGGGACATCTCAGTGACGTTTAATTAGAAACTTAGAAGCCAGAAAGCCTAGAAAAGCTTTCTCCAGCACATAAGATGTGCTACTAGTAACCCCCACCCCACATGCACTTCTTCTGAGAGGACAGTTTGTGCCTGTCTTCACAGTACAATCCTGGGTGGGATCCTGGAAGTGAGATTTTTCAGTGTAGATACTTCAAAGGCTGTTCAGGGCTGCTATTAAGCAGAGACATCCTTTTCTTTGGGTGCTTATTGGTTTTAAATTATTTTTACTCAATCATTTCATGGAAGATTTTTCTCTCTTGGATTCTGAAAACACGGATACTATACCATCTAACAATACAGCTGTAATCACCAAACTCCAAGGTCAGCATTAGAACTGCCATAGACAATGGAGAAAGCAATGGCACCCCACTCCAGTACTCTTGCCTGGAAAATCCCATGGATGGAGGAGCCTGGTAGGCTGCAGTCCATGGGGTCACTAAGAGTCAGACACGACTAAGCGACTTCACTTTCACTTTCCACTTCCATGCATTGGAGAAGGAAATGGCAACCCACTCCAGTGTTCTTGTCTGGAGAATCCCAGGGATGGTGGAGCCTGGTGGGCTGCTGTCAATGGGGTCGCACAGAGTCAGACACGGCTGAAGCGACTTAGCAGCAGCAGCAGCAGCCTAAATGCATAGGCATGGCTGTGTTACAATAAAACTTTATTTACAAAAGCAGATGGTGGGCTGGATTGGGCCTGTGGGCCTTAATTTACTGACTCTCAACTACTGAGAATCAGACATGAAAATCTAAGGCAAAGCTATTTTGACCATTTTCAAACAAATCTCCTGGGGCCAAATGAACTGCATTGCTCTCTGATAGACGAGAAATCACAAGGCGGATCACTCTGATCCATCTTCATGCTCTAATGACGGGAACGGAGGCTTCCAGCAATGAAAGGACTTGCCAAGGTTCACCAAGCTACAGAGGCCAAATAAGAATTCAAACCCTTCAACTTATTTCAGGCCAACTGGTGCACAACGATCATTGCCACGTCTTTGGGGGCCCCCAAGTCAGGAGGGATAGAAGGAGTAAAGCTTGGAGACCCTTGGTACAGCCTTATCATTTCAAACAGAAACCCTGCACCCATTAAACACTAACCTCCTAACGCCGTTCCTGGCAACTGCTACTCGACTTCCCCTTTCTATGCATCTGACTACTCTAGGGCCCTCAGGTTAAGTGGAATCTAGTTTAAATATCACACAGTATTTGTCCTTTTGTGACTGGCTTCTTTCATTTAGCATACCATTTTCAAGATTCATCCACGTTACTGCATGTGTCAGAATTTCCTTCCTTTTTAAGACCGAGGAATTTTTCACTGTATGAAGAGACCACACTTTGGTTACCCATTCAACTGGCGGTGGACATGTGGTCATTTCCACCTTTTGACTATTGTGACTAGGGCCTGCTATGAATGTTTGTATACAAGGTTTTGTTGAACACCCGTTTCCAGATTCAGGGGAATAACCCTAGAGGCGGACTTGGTGGATCATATGGTAATTCTGTTTAGCTTTAGCACTGTCTGTTTCTTAATGGTCTTTACTGTGGCTTTATTCACTTACTATGTATAACTTTGACCTCTGCGGACCCCAGCTTTTCCCAGATATCTAACATGTATCAGACCTTCCCATTACAGGAAGCTACAACATCTGCCAACATCTGCCTTAGCAAGGGGTCACACATGCAAGATGCAATGCTATTTTCCGGGAGGTGAGCTCTGCCAGCTGTGTAGCCAGTACCTGAATCTTGGAGCAGTGTTTCATCTTGTCCTCTTGGGGAATAGTGTTTGTCACAACAACAGCCTCAAACGCAGCATTATTTATTCTGGAAATAGCGGGCCCAGAGAAGATCCCATGGGTAAGGATAGCATACACTTTGGTGGCTCCAGCCGAGAGTAGTCTATAAAATCAAAGACAAAAAAGTTAAGTGCACACAAATATTCTTGAAACATTCTCCCCTTTGTGTGAATGTAGAAGCAATAGTGTGTTCCATACAGGAAAACATGAAACCAACTTCACTCACATTTATTAGTCGAAAACATGATCTTCTAAGCTATGTGCTGACCAAACACTTTGTACTTCCTTACATCAGGGATTATCACCCTTGGCTTTGGGCCCGGACAACTCTTGGTTGTGCAGCACAAGTCCCTGGCCTCTACCCAGTAGCAACACCCCTCCCCTCAGTTGTCACAACCAAAAATGTCTCCCGACATTGTCAAATGTCTCCCAGGAAACAAACCTGCCCAGGTTTAAAAGAGCAAGGCCAAAACGGCACATGCTGACATACAATCAATACAAGAAGGTGAGCTATTATACACTCTCTGGTTTGCTCTGGCTTTGAAACCTGCGGGGCACTGCACCCTCCCAGCACGCCTCAGCCCATGCATTCCGCAGCGGTGCACAGGTGGGCAGCGGCTCCTATGCCGGACGGCCCAGCTCTAAGTCCCTGGAAGCCCACAGCTGAGAAAGCTGGAGGGGAAGCAAGCACGAGGGAGGGAGGGCCTGGAGAGGCTCAGAGACTGGCTTTTCCCTTCTGTGCTCAGTTTTAGAAGCATCTTCCCTGAACTTTTTAAAAAATACACTGAAAGTAAAACCTTGAAAAGGAACACGAGGCCATAAAGGACCACAGTTTTTTCCCTACCAAGACAAAAACAAATGGGCCTAGAAATTGACTTTGGTCTGAAAACCCACTACTAAGCAATCAGTAATAATTAGGAGGACTGATCCTGGTTTTTAGCAGCTGATGTTTCTCCTTTCTTAATGAGATGTCCTAACGCTTTCCTGAAGGGTCCGAAAGCACCCTCATACTTGTCCGCAGCATGGCAGATGGTGCCACAGGTGTCGGCCATGTCATCCACGAGGATGGCCACGCGGTCCTTCACGTCGCCCACCAGAACCATCCGGTCCACTTCATTCGCCTTCTTCCTCTCCTTGTGAATCAATGCAAACTCCACATTCAACCTGTCCGCAATTGACGTGACCCTGCTCAAAGACATATACAAACACAGACTTAGTGAGCACAGACTTCTGGTTATTGTGGCGGTGGGGTGGGGCAGCAGGTGGGGAAGGCTGGGAAGAAGGGATAGGTGGGAAGTTTGGGGTGGACATATAAACACCAGTATATTTAAAATGGATAACCAACAAGGATCTACTGTATCGCATAGGGAACTCTACTGAATAATATGCAACAAACTGAATGGGAAGAGAATTTGAGAAAGAATAGAAATGTGTAGATAAATAACTGAATCACTTTCCTGTACGCCTGAAACTAACATAACACTGTTAACCAACTATATTCTAATATAAAATTAAAAGTTAAAAAGATATATAGGGAAAACTACAGCTGAAGTCTGAAAACATATTCCCAAAATGACATTAGAAAACTCTCAGTTTACAAAATAAGATAAAAAGAAAGACATAGACAGATGTGTCAAATATTGTGAAAACAAAACAAAACAAAAAAAAACTGTGCTCTTCGCAGCTGTAGTTTAGGACTACTGTAACCAGCCCCACTCAAGTTAATGCAGGAATCATTAAGGCCTGCAGGAATCAGGCTTTGCCTGAAAAGCCGGGCCTTGTGTGGGGTATGTGTTAAGCAACCTACAGGGAGGAACGTGCCAGGACATGGCCTTGCGCCTGGGGGCAGCTGGGGAAGAAAGCCAGGGCGCCTTGATCACCGTCTAAAACTCCTGACTCTCAGCAGGCTGGTGTTTATGGGCATCTTTTAAAGTCAGAGGCCCAAATGAAAGTAAATTATTTAGAAACTATTGACTGCTCAGTTTGGGGAGCAGCCATGAGGGACGAAGTCCCGTTTAGCGAAGCCACGTAGCCTGCAGGCTTACGACAAAGGGCTTGACTGCACTTGAGGCCTCTGAGATTGTAATCACAGTCCAGGCCTCTGCCCATCTACAGCAAATGCTCAAAGCCATCAGCCCTGAAAGGCCTGAACTGGCTAAAGGAGAAGCTGGCAGGCTAGGCTTGCTGGTGAGCCCGGGGCATTCTACATTTTTCCTGTGAAGAATAGGCTTCAATGATGAAACTTGGCATAAAATAATCCCACTGACATAAGGGAACATGAAACATCCTGTTTCACTTCTTAAAATGATAGTTTCTTCTTAAGCAATGCAGTTGAAAAAAATTTTTTTGAATGACCAAAACACAGACTCACACACAACCCAATTTAGTATGCAGTGACTAGACGATACAGCCTCTGGATGCTTAAGTCCTGGTACCGTTCACTATGTCCTCCTCAGGTGGTGACCAAGTGGAGCCCAGCCAAATCCCTGAGAAGAACCCACTTTCTGGGGCCAAGAGGGCAGCAGGAAGGGAACTGGGTACCACGGGTTACCTCTGCTTGTCTCTGAGAACATTCAACAACTGGTATCATTTTTAACTGTGGTAGAAAAAGTTATACATATTACATAGAGGTATGTATACCTAATAGAATTTGAATGCTGACAAAAATTTTGCCCCATAATCGCCTTAAAACATATACTCCTCTCTGTATGCCAATTTCATAAAAGATACGCCCTTTAAACTCCAATTAAGGAAAGCTAGTAAGACAGATTTTGCCAAGAAAAGCCTCTTGAACATCTTATGTATGAGCATATATATTAAAATTTTGTTTCTACATAAGGATCAGGAAGACCTCGGTACAGCAGGGCCCAGGTCCACAGCCTCACACGGGGATGCACTGCCACGTGGGGTGAACTTGGCATCACCTGTGTTCACATGTCTGCCAGGTGATCGGCTCTCCTGAGTCTGCGAATAAACACACCAGCAGGGGGCGCAGCTGCCTGAGTGGGAAGGAAGCTGAGCTATGCAGTTTGGTGGGTGGGGTGGGGGTGGGGGGATAGAGGAAGCCATGGAACATGAGTGGGGCGCCCCAGCCACTTCAGGTACCCAATGGTAACGTCAGAAGCAGAAAATCAGGCAAACTATTCCTGCAAAAAGCTCCCAGGGTTGCGACAATATCCCTATTTCTCCACAGGTTCCAATGCTTCTCTTCCAGGTGTACAACTGTGACTGACTGCCTATTTCTAACAGACGACTGTTGAGACGGTATTATACAGAAATCTCGGGCGGAAAAAGCTAGAACAACAACAACAACAAAAATACACAGTTTGATTTCTATTTCTTCAGGATACACCCTTACAGTCTTTCCAAAAGAAAAAGGAAAAAAAAGTCAAATCTGAAATAGTTGCACCAACTTCCCAAACCAGTTTTATGTGAATATTGACCATTCCAACAGTGGCGTGCTTCCTTCCTAGGGTGTACTTTTTCTCAGCTTCAAAGACTACCCACGAGTGACCTCTTGTGGTGATATTAAGTTTTACCTGCAACAAATTAAGCCTCAAAGTTTTTTCTATAGCAACAAGTCCCAATTTCTCAGACACCTATTTGTGTGTGTGTGTGTGTGTGTGTGTGTGTGTGTGTGTGTGTGTGTGTGAAAAACAACTTGTCATATCAAGCAAAGAAGTCACAGATAATGTCAACTGCATGTATCATGTGTTACTTGTGAGGCTATTTTGTTGGTTGGGGAATAGCTTACTCCAGGATATGAGAGATGTGTAGCAAAAATTCAAGAGAAAAGAAACAAAGGTGACAAAAATTTTGAAATGCAAACCCTTAAAAAGTTTGCTTTTCCCGGCAGAGAGGGAGCAGCAGGGTAGTCTGAGTGGAACTGATTTGAAGGGGCTCTGAACAAAAACAACATCTTGCTGCTGGCTGTTTCATCTAGCTGGCTGATTCTGTTATTTTTATTTTTTTTAGCAGGGGTTAGCAAGTAGATGAGGGAACTTGGCATATAATAAAAGATGGTATTTCAAGTCAAAGGAACAAGAATTGATTATTTAACAGTTTGGGGACAATCTAGATAGCTAGGGACAAGGGAACTTGGATTCTTCATTCACTGTTTATTCCAAAACAAATTTCAGATGGAAGAAAAATCAAAATGTTAAAAAGGAAAAAAGCAACCCTTAAAATCTGTCAAATGAGAGGAGAGGAAAAATGTTAAGGGTGAGTCCTTCATAAACCCAGAAGCCATAATGTGAAAAAGAGATAAATATGACTACATAACGAATGTTTTAAGAGTCTTGCAGAGAAGAAAAACACAAGAAGTGAAAAACTTGGGGAATTATTTGCTACACAGAGAAGCAAAGATGTCACTTCCTGCCTGCACAGAACTTCTAACAAACCAGAGGAAGAGGCCTCCAGCTGACAGAACAAGCAAAAGGTACGAACAAAAAATAAACGTGCTGGAAAGAGCACTCGACCTTATGCACAGCAACTGGAATTAACAGGAAGACATGCCCTGGACCACTCAGCTGATCTGTAAAGTAAAAGAGGCCTGATCAAGTGCTGAGCGAATGAGCCTATGTACCAAGTCACTGGCACACATAGTCGGGAATGTGAACCGGTCTCTTCCTTTTTAACTGAAGTATACTTGATTTACAATGGTGTGTTAGTTTCTGGTGTAGAGCAAAGTGATTCAGTTATACATATGTGTATATATATATATACTTTTCCAGGTTCTTTTCTATTATGGTTCATTATAAGATACTGCATATACTTCCCTGTGCTATACAGTAGGCTCTCGCTTGTCTATTTTATACATAGTAGCTTTATCTGCTTTTTAGCTTCTTTGAAAGACCCAATTTTGACCCTGTCCATCAAAACCGAAATAGCTCATGCTCTTGGACTTGGTGACAGCAGTTCTAGGAACACTTGCACTTCCACTACTTGCACGTGTATAGGCAATGTGAAAGAGAGTGTCGTGCTGCAGGAAGGTGCCTGAGAACACCACCAGCAGCGCCAAGGGCACATGAAGTAAGTAAAGTCGCTCAGTCGTGTCTGACTCTCTGTGACCCCGTGGACTGTAGCCTATCAGGCTCCTCTGTCCATGGGATTTTCCAGGCGAGAGTACTGGAGTGGGTTGCCAAAGCTGAGCTCCTCACAGCTGTGGAACTCTTGCTATGGTGGAACATGCTTTTAAAAAACACAAAGAAGTATGTGCAGCGTATTATCATCTGTGTGAAATCAAAAGGGAGATACATGTTTCAACAGCATTTCCAAATGCTACTGGAAAGACTTTGGGATGATTTTGGAAAGAATACAGGCCTCTCAAGAAGGAAGTGGGAGACATCATCTCATCCAAAAAAAAAAAAGGAGGGGGCTGGGATGGGAAAAGACAGAGGACCAAGTTCAGAGTCCCGGCACGCAGGACAGCACTCTATCGCATCGGCATTCCACCACCTTCACCCTGATCCTCAACTGTCTCTACTGACGGCTCAGGACCCTTACTGAGGCCATTCAGCGTGCCTACACTCTCTTGCTTTTAGTGCCAAGCCAGTTTCTGGCCAGCATCCTCCTTTTCCAGCCTAGCAACTGCTCTGTGACCCCACGAGGCGGGCTGTCCGCCGCCCAGTCATCCGCAAGCACAGGCTCTCGGCGGGTCGCACCCTCTCGCTTTCCTAATTGGATCATCAGGCCTTCAGTGCACGAGGTGGTCTTCGGCGGGGAGTATTTCCTGAACGGTTGGGCTTGTGGAACTCTCCCTCTGCCATTCTGAGGCCTGGGGTCCATTGTTCCAGCCCTGGGACCCCCACACCAGGGTGCAAGTGCATATCCCACCACACATCCAGCCGTGGCAGAGACCCTGGACTGGCGCTCTCACAGGTGGCGCCTTTCTCCCTGCCCTCTGCCTTCTCTCCGGAGGCTTCCCTGTGGGCACCAGCCTCTGCCGAGCCACCCGTCTCTTCCTGGATCCGACCTATCACCCAAGTCACCCTGAGCGCAGCTCTCAGCCTTTTTTATTTCTTAGCCACAGGTCTCTCCCCTTCCCTGGTAGCTCAGTTGGTAAAGAATCTGCCTGCAATGCAGGAGACCCCAGTTCGATTCCTGGGTCGGGAAGATCTGCTGGAGAAGGGATAGGCTACCCACTCCAGTATTCTTGGGCTTCCCCTGTGGCTCAGCTGGTAAAGAATCCTCCTGCAATGCAGGAGACCTGGGTTCAATCCCTGGGTTGAGAAGATTCCCTGGAGAAGGGAAAGGCTACCCACTCCAGTGTTCTAGACTGGAGAATTCCATGGACTGTATAGTCCATGGGGTCGCAAAGAGTCAGACACGACAGACAGAGCAACTTTCACTCACTCACTCATCTCCTTTTCTCTCGGGCTGCTCTGCAGACAGGGATTTTAAAACTGTTCTATTTTGGCTTCCATTGCTAAGTGTTTGTAATAAGAAGGCTGAGCTTAGTCAGTTGTGTTGTGAAGTGAAAGCCTTAATTTCCAATTAGGCTCATGGCTTCTATCATCAGAAATAAAAGTTTTAAAAAAACTCAGAACATTCTTTGCTGAAAATAAATGTCTATGTGTATTGTTTTTCTTCCGTGCGTGATGCAACGTTAAAGATGACAGCTCTCTGCTCTGGAGGTGAAGCCTGTTGTCTACTTACTTGGTCATCTACAAAATAAACAGGTAAGTCATTGAAGACATGCTTCCTTACCTAACACACACAACAAGGAAAAAGCAGCTAGCAAACCCAGAAACATGTCTCGTGCCACCTGAGCCTGTGCAATACCTTTTGGCGCCCCCGGCGTCAGGTGAAACAATGATACAATTTTTCCAGTCGGTGATGTTCTCCCGAATCCACTGCAGGACCGCAGGCTCTGCGTACAAGTTATCCACGGGGATATCAAAGAAGCCCTAAGGAGAGAAGTGGCTGTCATGTTATAACATCTTCTCTGCCATGAAATAAAATTAGAATTTTTTATTCAAAAGAATCCTTTTCAACAGATTCCCCTTTTACTTCTTTAAAAATTTTTTTTTCAATTTAAGCATACATTGTATTTCTTTTTTAAAAAATGTTTTTGTAACTGAAGTATAGTTGATTGACAATGCTGTGTTAGTTTCAGGTATACAGCAAAGTGATTCAGACATATATATATATCTTCTTTTTAAGATTCTCTCATGTTATATGTTACTACAAGATGCTGAATATAGTTCCCTGTGCTATACAGTGGATTCTTGTTGTATATCTATTTTATATTTTATCCTTCCCCCATTTTCCCTTTGGTAACTGTAAGTTACTTTTCTATGTCTGTACAGACTCCCTTTTCTTAATTCAAATGGAATTAAATCACAAGACAGATATGATCCAGAAGCAGATTTCGGTTCAGCTGTATCTTTGGGGACATGGTCTATTACCTTATGATCACCTCTATTCTAAGAATAGGAGACTGGCTTTGTAGATCAGTGGGGGAGAGATTTGCCATTTCTTAAGCATCTTATTGTAAGCCAAATAATTCACAGTTAACTGTACTGCAGGGCATGCATACTGTAATTTGGCCTATTTTATAGATGAAGGAACTAAGTTATGAAGAGTATTTTAAAAACTTAACAACTTTCCCATTCTAATTATTGGCAGAAGTTGAGGTAGAATTACAGAGTTTACTACCAAGAAGCCATTCCTGCTCCTCCAAAAGTGAGTGGAGGCAAGGTGGTGGTAGAGACAGGTGCTATCAATGTTAAATTATCTAAGTTTGGTAAAAAAAGATGAAACTCCCAGAGAGTCGCCATATACAAACTTAAAAACACAAGTAGTATTACCTCCTTTGAAAACCTAACCTAACAGAGCTAGAATTTAACCAGCTGCATTAAGCCCTCACTATAACCAAGAACAACAAAGAAAATGCTGAAACCTGGATCTGAGAGGCATGCAGGTCCATGGTGATGATGTGATCCGCTCCAGCGACCGAGAGCATATTGGCCACAAGCTTTGCTGAAATCGGAGCACGACTCTAAAATACAAAGGAACAACTTTTATAATAAGGGAGAGATGGCGACATCCAGATTTCTCCCACTGAGATCTACAGGAGAAAGATGAATCACAGATGTTTCATTACGTGTGAAGAGAAGTAACATTAACAACTTAATTCCTCAATAATTTGAACTTATTAATTTAAATTATTTAATTAATAAAGTAAGTCATAGGTTATAACAGCAAAAGAGACTCCTCCCAGTTTTATTCACCAAATACTAATTATTTACTTTTGGGACGCAGTGTGCCTGACACTGGGTACAGAAAACAAATGTCAAAGAAGCAAATAATTAAAGATAAACACATGTCATATCATAATTTATATAATTCCAATTGTGACAACTAGGTAGAATAAAAGGTACCGAGAGAGAAAGTGAGAGGGAGACAGAGAGAGGCACAGACAACAGCATGAAGGACAAGAAGTAAAAGACATTAGTTGTCAGAGGCCCCTCTGAGGAGAGTGCTTCTTAAGGCGAGGCCAGCAGAGGCAGGAGACGAGTGGCGCAGCAAGAACCCGTGTGCCGTCATGGAGGCCGAGCGGGCACTCGGATCCAGGATGGACGGAGCCTAGTGTGGCTAGCTGGTGGTCCAGGACGCAGAGCGGGGGGCCCTGAGGGAGGCGGGGCTACATCCTGCAGGGCCCCAAAGGCCAGTCCTTAACGCTGAGTTTCCGCACTACAGCTAGGAGCAAAGGCTGTTAGGAATTCAACAAAAACCAGAAGGAAGAAAGAACAGCTTAAGGTGATGGATCAGCTGATATTTAGAGAAACAGACCGCAGTGTGACATTGTGTCTTCTTGAAGGTACCTAAGTTCTTCATAGCTTTAGCTTCCATACCGTAAGTGATGGACATGAACTCTGCCCACGTCAAAACAATCCAAGGGACTATACAGGCATGATTAGGCCTAGGCAAAGAGTTCAGCACTTTGCTATAAACCAAGCATTCCTACATATAACAAAAAAGAAAATGTAAGCTGAAAAGATTTCATTCAAACTTACAATGTTATGTTATATAAGTTTCAATTATATCTTAAAGCTGAAAACAAAGATTTCATTCAAAATAGTAATAAATGATCTCTGTTAAATACACAGACACGCACACAGTATACTCCTGTAAAAACACACACAGGAATTAAATCACAATGTGAACCAATTATTTTTATTTTCTCTAGTATCATTCTTTTCTAAAAAAGAAATCTATTATATTTTATGATAATTCACACCCCCCCCACACACACACTTTTTTTTTTTCACACACAAAGAATGAGAGGAAACATCCCAAATGTTAACAGTAAATGTTTCCAGAAAATGAGATGATGGGGAAATTTTCTAATTTTTTGTGAATCATTCAACCTGCTCAACTAACTCAGGTTTTTTCATCATGTAACTCCCCTGCTCTGTTCCACGCTGCCCTTGAGATAAACAGCCCTCCCGCCAGTGTGGCTCTAGCTACTTAGAAGTGGTCTGCCCTGCACCCTCACCTCAAGGAGGACTCCTCCCCAGAGTGGGCTCTGGGCCCCCTCTCTCCCTCTTCTGGAGAACACTGTAAGCCTTGCTATCTACACCCACACTCCCACCTTACCCTTAATCTGCCCCCATCTCTGCAGACCCTGTATGTCTGATCCTCCAGATCTCTGGTTCCAATCTCCAAACTTTAAGGCACTTGGAGAATTCCAGAGAGGAATGATCTGTCCGTTATAAAGGGACACAGCATTTGGCCCCCACCACGTGGGACCACTGTAAGCCACCTGCTTAAAGATGGACATCAGAAGATAGTTTATGTAGAATGCATAGTTCACAACTAGACTGTGTGTCCCTCAAGCGCAAAGGATTCATTTTGGAGATTCCTGCATCACCTGTAACCCCAGCTCTGTACCTTGCATATGACAGTTCTTCAGTAAATATTTAATAACAGGATCTGTAGGACACCGAGTTTCCAAGGCTTAGTCATTCACCTCACTGACTGGGAGAGTTATTTAGTTTAACAAAATTCCAGGGTAATTAAAAGAACAAATCCACCGCTGGGAATGCGATTCACTATGCTGATCAACTCCCTCTAAGTTGATAACCTGCACAAAGATTCGTCTGTCTCTCCATGGCGTCAAGCCATTACTTCGGAGAGCTGGAGCACAGGAGCGATTTCTAAACCCACACTTTCTCCTCTCCTTCAAACTGTTTGAGAAGTTAATTTTCGGGCCATCTTTCATGATTTGCCTTAACACCCAACTGCCTCTTGCAAGAAAAATGATTCACAAGTTTTAACTGACTTTATGGCCAAGAAAGAGAAAAAATTAGTATGGCATTTCAACAAAGGTAGTCAAGGTACAGCCATTGCAAATAAAACGGTTGACTCCCCTAATGAGAAATGGTAAAGGTCAAATATTTTGTGAGCCAGACCAGTCTGGACAAAGACTCTCCAGAGAGTCCAGATTTCATTCAGCATATTATCTGCTGCCCTGATAAAAAGTGTAAACTTCACAAGCTTTAAAAATGGACAAGACTATAGAAATTTGTGTCAGCACAATTGTCCTCAATTTTCCCAGTTAAGAAAGGGTGGGATGTTTCAAGAGAACAGCATTGAAACACGTATATTATCTAGGGTGAAACAGTTCACCAGCCCAGGTTGGGTGCATGAGACAAGTGCTCGGGCCTGGTGCACTGGGAAGACCCAGAGGGATTGGGTGGAGAGGGAGGTGGGAGGGGGGACCGGGATGGGGAATACATGTAAAAAAAAAAAAAGATACACTATGGTTGTGATAAAAATAAATAAATAAATAAAATTAAAAAAAAATAAAATAAAATAAAAAAAAAGAATATCACATTTTAAATCAGTAAAAAAAAAAAAAAAGAAATCAAAAGAAACAATGTGATCATTGAAAGCAGATCATAACTTTGAAAATTTTGAAAAACAGCCCTCTATGATTCCTTTTTTGCTATCAGTTTTTCTCCGACAATACAGCATGCCATTTCTGAATTCTGTGTTCCTTCTGCTGCTGCTGGTGCAAACTCTCACCTGCTTTCGTGGCCTTGCTTCTGTGTTGCTGACAGTGATCACCTTGGCTCTTCTACCAGTGGTTAAGTTCAGAAAGTTGTGGGATGGTCTGATTGAGGTAAAAAAGAAAAGTACCCACCGTACTGTTTCCAAGAAATATACTGCCAGCAAAGTGACTAAGTAACAGTGAAAGAAAGGAAAGAAACTGGGGCTCAAAATGGCCTCCACAAGAAAACCCATCTAAATGTCCAACAACAGAAGCTGGATCAAGAGGTAGTCGGACAAAGCAGATTCAGGGGATAGTTAAGTCCACTGGGGGCTCTGGAGGGCTCTTGGCCAGCACGATGGCAAGTGGAGGCCAGAGGCCAGGAGCGACCTCACATCCCCTGTGGGAGCAGGAGATCAGCCACACAGACCCTGCAGGTGTCTTTACAACAGAGACTTCATGACGATCAAATGGAAGAAACAAAGTCTGAAAATACAATCTTGGAACAAGAGGTAACTTCCAATCAGATACTTGCAAACAAAAAATGCAGGAGTCTCAGTATTTGTGTCAGTTAAAAAGAAAGCTAGAGTAAAAAACAAAAAACCAAAAAACCAGCTAGGTTTCCAAACTGTTAACCCAGTGGGAGATGGCCAAGTAATAATAAAAGGAGTAATTTACTGAAAAAGCAGTAATGTATCAAATATCTTAGTGCCAAGTGCAAAGGCTACTAGAAATAAAAGGAAAATCTGATGACAAATGACAGAATACAGAATTTACTAAACCTCCTGTTATGTAGAAGAGAGATGTAGCAGAATATTAGCTTCTCTAGGACATAGACAAGAATGAAGATGCTGAATAATCCCATGGAAACGCACAAATGGGAGGAAGAGCTAGGACAACAGATTACACTGATGGAACAAAAGATATCAATTTAAATTTGGCAGCTAAAAATGCACATAAAACTTGCAAATCAAGTCTGGAATAAAAGCAGCTTGACAAATGATACGTGGGAGGTCATATGCCTCACAGGAGCAGACGGGACCTACACATCAGCTAAAGCCAAGTCACAAAGTGAAGGACACACACACACACACCTCCCCACATACTACACACACTCCAATATTTCATGGCAATGGCGATTACCTGCTATTCAATGTCCATAAAGAAATGGTGCACTGGGAAGACCCAGAGGGATGGGATGGAGAGGGAGGTGGGAGGGGGGATCGGGATGGGGAACACATGTAAATCCAGGGCTGATTCATGTCAATGTATGACAAAAACCACTACAATATTGTAAAGTAATTAGCCTCCAACTAATAAAAATAAATGGAAAAAAAGAGAAGTGTTTTACAGACATACAGCCATGCCCATTCATTTACATCCTGTCTCTGACACACAACTAGAGCTTGGTCGTTACCACAGAGACCATGCAGACCTTCACAGGAAAAGCCTGCTGACCCTTTCTAATATACATGCTGAGTCACATTCCAAGTGCAGAATGGAGTTCTGGAGATCAAATTTTTAGTGGGCAATTCACTGACTAAGCTGTGTTCAGCCGAGTCTGGAAACCACACCTGAAGGAGTTGACATTAAAATTTACAGGGACCTTGCTACAGGAATCCATATTTATAAACAAACTTTTTTCACATGAGGGAAATCTTATGTACTGTTGAGAAATTTGCGTTGTTTCAGAAAAGCAATTCTGGAAACAAATGGAGGTGTACTGGAGAAAGTTTCTCTCGTAACTAGTTATCCCATCACAGGACAACAGTGTGGCTGGCGAACTAAAAGGATTCACTTGGAACTGACCATCTATTCACAAAACCCAAGGAGGGCAACAGCTTAAGTGCTGCTCCCATAGAGGGTTGAATGGTAACCCCAAAACTCCCGTTCACCCAGAACCTCAGACTGTGACCCCATTTGGAAATCAAGTCTTTGTGGATGTTAAGACGGTGATCAAGATGAGATCATTCTGGATTAAGGGGCTCCCTAAATCCAATGACTATCCTTTTATAAAAGAGGAAAGCACACACAGAGACGAGTAGAGATGGCAATGATGCTACCAGATGCCAAGGAATGCCATGAGCCCGCAGAAACAGAAGAGGCAAAGAAGGCTCCCCCTGGAGTCTTCAGAGGGAGTACAGTCTGCTGGCACCTTGACCTCTGACATCTGGCCTCTAGGATGATGAGGGTGCACATTTCCATCATTCTAAGCCTTCCAGTTTACGGTCATTTGTTCCGGCAGCCCTAGCGGAGTAATATGACCCCTTTGCAAGTTCCCCTCCACCTTCCCCGATTTTTCTTGAGGGCAGAGACCATATCTTCTTCGGTTTCTTCTACAACCTCACAGGGCCTCCTACAATGTCAGTGTTGCAAAAAGGATAACTCAACAATACTAACTTCATTCCTGTTAGAGGGTTAAAAAGGGTTACTGGTATAAATATAACTTAGTATCCTGAGAGAACTGTAGACACACACAGCTGTAAGAAATAACGCTGAGATGGTGCGTCCTTATCCTAGTATTTCATGGTAACATTTTGCAGCCCTAAGGGAAGAAATCACAACCTGGATTCTGACATGGATACAATCCAGGGGTCTGCTTGGGACTTCCACCAGCGTTTTACACTCACCAGAGAGTGTGTGTCTGTTTATGTATTTAGTTCTACTCCCCACCACAAAGACACATACCAGTTTCATTACAAGGACTATAGTAAGTGTATTTTCAGACCCGCAAAAATACTCTTTACCTGTTTCTATATTTACAAACATGACGGCTGATTCAAAGATAAACCTTGGATAAAGGCAAGAAAGCATGTTTACTCCATCACAACAGTAGAAAGCCAACATTTCCCAGGGAGTCGGAGGTATGAAGTGAGAAAATAAATGCAGCCATCAAGCCAGAGCAGGTTCCTCCAGCGGCAGCCCCACACCCATACCTTGTCCTTCTTGTCTTGCCGGGCGTAGGGGAAGCACGGGATCACAGCGGTCACCCTGGAGGACGATGCGATCTTGCAGGCGTTGATCATGATGAGTAGTTCCATCAGGTTGTCGTTGATCTCGCCGCAGCCACTCTGGATGATGTACACATCTTCCCCTCTCACACTCTCGCCAATCTCCACGCTAGGGAAAGGAAGGTGCCGCTGTTAATAGCTAAGCCTCCCTGTGCCTACCCCTAAGGGCTGCGACTAGCGAGTACTCAGCAGGCGGTGGTCCTTGCGGGTAGGACATCTTCCACTGAGAGGAGACAGAGCAAAATCAGCGAACGGGAAGAGGCACACGGGCAAGGTCTGGGCAGATTAGGCACAAGCTTCCAACACTTCTCACCCGAGTGCAGTCACAGAGGACATGTGAATTCCCCCAGCGACCAGCTGTGACAACACATACATAAGGGAAGCCCTGTCGCCCTGGGAAGCTCATCGGAGACTCCATTGCCTTGGGTTTTCTTGGGGGCCAGGGACTCAGTGTTAAGCACGTGGTTTTCACTGGGACCCTTTCCCATGGGCAATGGGGGAAACCTTGTGCAAACTAAGTTCCCAGAAGCCAGCCAAAGGTCGTCCTATAAAGGGACCTTTTTCATATACGAGTGACTCTAATAGGCTCTTTAGAAACTGTCTCTGGCCTGTTACATTACATTAACTTTACTGTATTCTAGTTTTTTACTGTTACACGTACACATTGCTTTAAAAATTCCAACCATTCTGTAAGGCCTGTAGCAAATAAAATAAGCCCAAAGGCAGCCAATTTCATCTCTTGATGTGGTTTTGACATATTTATCTTCAAAGTCCCTCACTAATGCTTGGATTGCTTCATCTGGATTTTTCATTTTAGGCATCATGGGTTGACTTCTCACTCTGGACCATGAGGACTGACCTGTCTCCTCCCCATCCCATCCCCTGCATTGAGCGCAGCCCTCCCATCTCATGTTGCCATCCTCCCAACACAGATCAGTATCTGCCAACCAAATCTGAGAGCTACATTTTAACTGTGTCGGTGCCATTCAGAGCCAAGCCATACAGTAAACTGAAAACCAAGTTCACGGTGCCCTTCTGTACACAATTTTGGCGGGGCGGCGGGGGGGGTTGTTCACCTCGGAGGAAATGATCCTACCTCTTCATCTACTAAGTTTTCCAATACAAATGGCAGCCTCAATACTGGGCTAACAAATTAAATCCTACAATGTCAATGTCAAAGGCCTCACGTGTGATCTCTATTCCATGGCCTGCTCGAGGCTCACCCCCAAGCTGGCTGACCTGGGTTCTCTTCCTGCCTGTGACAGCTGTCTCCTGGGAATTCCCTTCCCCCGTCTCCTGCCCTCGATTTCCCACTTTCTGTACCCTTTCTTGGTGCACTTGCTAGTTTTGCTGATGGACATCCTCTGGTAGCGTCTTGAAAAAAGCAAACAGGAGCTTAACTCTTTGAAAACTCCCTGCCAGGAAGTTTCAAGTGTAGGATTTTGGGGGTTCAACGAGAGAATGAGTCAATACAACACTGGCATACATATACAATTAGCTGTGCCCTTTCTCTTGCGATCAGAAGCCAATTATACCCAATAGTATTGTTTTATTGGAAGAGCTGATTATTTCTAAAGAAAATGGAAATATAAATGGTATTTGGAATACCATATAGTAGTCTATCTGAACCAACGGAAGCTTCTATCTAACTTCAAGTAGAATAATTAGAAGATAAAAATGCCATTTTTCAATTTGATGTGATCTGGAAACAGTTTTGATCACAGTGGGCCAGCCTCCCACATACTCTGTGCTCTGCCATGGATGGAAAAAGTACAATGCCAGCCTCAGGATGAGCATGTGACAGAGGTCAATGTACTCCTCTCGAGCTCAAGTACTAAGGAGCTAAACGTAATTCCTCTGTGAACATCACATCAAACGTGAGGTGAAGTTGATCAAGAAATCCCAGTATTATAGCTCAGAGGTGGACAATCTACAGCCCGTGGGCTGAGAAGAGTGTGGTGGGCAGAATGACGGCCTCCCAAAGACATCGATGTCCTAATCCCCAGGACCTTCAAATATGTTCATTTACAGGGCAAAGGAGAAGCAAAGTGGCAGATGGAATTAAGCCTACTAGTCAGGTCACCTGAAGACAAGAGAGATTAGCCTGGACCATTCTAGTTGGCCCAATGTGATCACAAGGGCCCTTAAAGATGGCAGAGGAAGAGAGGTCAGAGAAAGAGATCTGAGAGCCAAAGCAGGGTCAGAGATGTGCTATGTGGCTGGTCCTGAAGATGGAAGAATGGGCCAAGAGCCAAGGAAAGCAGGCAGCCTCTAAGAGCTGTGAAAGCAACGGATGGATCCTGCCCTAGAGCCTCCACAAGGAACACTGACCCACGATGGATTTCTAACCCACAGAACTGTAAGATGCAACAGCAACAGAGCCGCTATGGGCCCATGAAGCCTAAAATGTTATCTGGCCACTTACAGAAAAAGTGTGCCAACAACTCCTGATGTTATGATTGTTTAGCCCCAAATTTCAGGGGGATAAACTTCTTTGCCCTATTTTTTCTAAGGAACAACCTCAATCCCCATGGGGAAAACAGAAACTACGTATGATCACCATGGCAACTTTTTCCCAAAGCTATTCCTGATTCCACTCATATAGATGGTCACGACTGATCTTTATTCTAGGTCTTTCAAAAACTGTGGGCAGAAGGCAGCATCCACTGCTCTTCACTGATCCTGAAATAAGGCTGATGAGTTTATCTGAGCCAACAATGAATGGGTGTGGTAATTAAAAGACAGCCACAGACTAACACTTTTTCCACCAAGAAGGGCTATCTATGGTCCCTCCCCCTGGATCTGGGAGGACTCTGCGCTTGACAACACAATGTGACAGAAGTGACGATTCCCTGACTTTGGGGTCCAGGCCTTCACAGACGGGGAGCTCTGACTTCCTGTGTTTTGAAGTTGTTGTGCTTGGATGCCAGTTTCCACGCTCTAATAAGGAAGCCCCAGCAGGCCTGTGGGGAGAGGTACAGAGGCTCCCAGCCAAGCTCCCAGGCCAAAGCTACTGCCAACTTACCAGCCATGCAAGCCAGCCAGCTCAGAAGTGGATTCTCCAGCCCCAGATGCCAACACGTGGGGCAGAAAGAAGCCTTCCTTGCTGAGCCCTGCTCAAGTCAGTGTGAGAGTCAAAGAAGTAACGATCGTACACAACAGATAACCAGGACTTTGGGTCTTACAATCCAGGTAGCCACTCTGGGCAGGTTAACTGACCAACAGAAAGGGTGCTGTCCTCCATGCTGTTCTAGGACGTCATCACAGCCTTTCAATGGTCAACTGGAAAGCTGGAACTGACATCTCCCTGTGGAGCTTAAATGATTTAGAGATGAGAAGATAAAATCATGAGGCTCTGTGTCCAATTAGACAGTGTTTTTCAAATGGGTAATAGGAGGAGTTGAGGACTAACAGACGCCAAACCAGATTTATGGTCCTGGCTCAGGGAGAGATTTAGGAAGGGGCCCCTGGACCTAAACTGAAGCTTTTTTCTCTTCCTTTTGCCCTCTGCTTTTCATCTTTAGGACCACACAGTAAAAACCAGATTACCAGCACAGTATCTGGTACAGGGAGGCCTATGTGTAAAAACTCAACCTCTGGGCCTAGACAGTTCATGGGAAAGAGGGAAGTTAGGAAGTTAACCTCTAATAGTCTAGATATTAAAAACATAAAATATAAGTATACAGCAATTCCCAGACTTCATGGTGAGTGGTTTCTGACACTGATTTCTAATTACCTGGTAATTATAAAATACTCAGAAACAATAATTTCTTCTTGACCTATATGACACCACCTCTGGAACACAAACTGTTATCCCTTTCTTCTGAAAGCTACTGTAATTTGAACAGGACTGCTAAATACTGTCATATTCAAACCTAAATATACTATCCTTCGCCAGAGCCCTGGCCATCCTAGGAGACTTCTGTATGGAACTCTGTAAAGCGGAATTCTTTAACTGAAAGACTTGCACATTAATACTACCTGCTACTCATTCACAAATGTGTGTTCACTTATCAGCCTAAAAAGCTGACTCAATAGCAAACACCACCATCTCTCTCTGTCATAACAACCACTCCTCTGTAACTAAGCAATCTTTGCCTATGCCAAGCTCATCAAGATTTTTCTCCCATGTTTTCTCCTAGAAATTTTCAGTTCTAGGTTTTACATTTAGGTTTAGGATTTTAAGTTCATTTCTGAAATGGTAGGAGGTATGGAAGGAGTTTTTGGGGTTTGGTTTTGTTTTTTGTTTTGTTTTGTTTTGCAGCTCACCAACACTTGTTCCGGCCCCGCTTGTTGGAAATGTTGGCTGAACTGGGTCTTTGCCAAAGATATCAAAATGATCAGTACCTTAAAAAAAAAAAATCAGTAACTGAGTACAGTGGTAGATATTTAAGGGGGGAGGGGGAAGGAATGGGACCAACTTGAAATGAGTTAAGAGCTGCGTGGACGCAGGTAAGTGGAAAGAAAGCAGCCCCTGGCCCGGCCTCTGAGGGGGCCACCAGCCTGACCTCACTGAGCGGAGGTCACCGCCTCTTGCGGACCTGAGACATGAGGGGCGCAGTTACACTCAAGCCATGACCTTGCTGCTGGACACAGCAGTGTCCCAGGACGCCGAAGAAGCTGGAGAAGGAAAAAGAAAAAAGTCCATCATCTCTGAGGCAGAAAAGTTAGCACACGGGATCCCAGCACGTGAGCCCTGAAGTTCTCAGGCTCTTTAAACCCTTTGCAGGACCACACCTGCTGGGTAACTCAGGAGCCGGCACCCGGCACCCGAGCAACTCAGGACTGTCACCTGCGGAGCTTCAACATGCGGACCCTCACAGCCCTCGGAGAAACCTCCGGGAGCGCAGCGCCGCTGCATTTTCCACAGCCCCGGGCGAACCCAGCGCGCCGCCCGGACTGGGGACGTGGGCGGGACGTTTCCTAGCGCGCCCTGGGTTTGGAAGCCTCGCGGCCGGCAGGAACACGGACCCCGGGGCGAGCACGCCCCGGGCCATGTCCCTGCCCGCGTGCCCCGCACTCGATTCGGCTCCAGCCGGCTGCACCCACCTAGCCCCGCGGGCCGCCCGGGGGGTCGCTCTTCCGGGCTGGGGCCGCTCTCCTCGGTTTCTCACTGACGCCGCGGCGGTGGCGCGGAGGCCGCGTCGTGGCCGGCCCGCCCCGGAAGGGGGAGCGGGCGGCCGCAGAAGGGGTCCCAGGCAGACGCCGGCCCCAGCCGGGTCGCGCAACCGCCCGCCAAGCGCCCTCCCCGGCCCGGCCCCCACCTGGTCTCCTGGTTGCTGAACTTCTTGGTGATCACCTTGCCCAGCTCCAGGCCCAGCCGGTCGGCCACGCGCTGGGACAGGTCCTGGTGCGAGCTGCCGCTGAAGAGCACGATGTTGGGCATGGTCGGGCGCGGAGTTCCGAGCGGCGCTAGGCGGCTGAAGCGGCGGTCACTCGACAACCTGCAGCGAGAGCGGGAAAGCGCGACTGGCGGACACCTGGGAGGAGCGGAGCTAAAGAGGAGCTGGAGGGGGCGGGGCCGAGGGGCGGAGCCTGGGGAGGAGGAGGTGGAGGCGGTGGCGCTCAAGGGGCGGAGCTGCGGGGTGGGAGGAGTGGGAAAGCGCAGCCGCGGGCTTCGGGGGAGGAGCTGGAGGGGGGCGGAGGAGCGGCAAGGCGCAGCCGCGGTCCCGGAGGCGGAGCTGAGGGAGGAGGAGCCGCGCGGTGGGAAGCGTGGGTTAAGCGCCGCCGTGAGTTCCGGAGGCGGAGCTGGAGGGGAGGGCTTGAGGGAGGAGGAGCTGCAGGAGGAGGCGGAGTGGGAAAGTGGGGCGGCAGGACCCGGAGGAGGAGCTGGAGGCGGAGGAACTGGAGGGGCGGGGCCGGGGAGGAGGGGCGCGAGGCGCTGAGAGGGTGGAGGCTGGACGGGTAGCTGGAGGAGCGAGGGAGAGAGGGGAGGGGGGAGAGCAGGAAGAAGAGCCCCGAGGGTGTGGCGAGGCGGGGGCTGCTGCACACCGAGTGCGGTAGGATGAGAAACCCTGAGTGGCCTGGCTCCGTGGGAGAGCTCCAGGCTCTGATCTTGATCTTTCCGTCCAGCTTTGCGGGGGAGAGTCGGTGAACATGTTGAACTGTGCACAGACGGAGGGTGCGGGGAGGGGGGAGGGAGATGCCTCCCAGCAGGAGCGCCTCCCAACCTGACGTACCCCCAAACCCGTTGCAGATCCCTAGGGCAGTTTACAAGGGTCTGCACACTGGCCTGCAGGCCAGATCCACATCCTGCCTATTTGAACCAGAGAGCGAAGCATCACTTTACACTTGACCACTTCTGCGTGTACATGATAACAGCTACCATGCCATTGAACCCCGATTAAGAGAAGTATTTTCCTTCCTCTTATTAATGGGTGCCTACTGCAAAAAAAAAAATAAAGTGTATTATTAAGTTTGGATTTCATCAATAAAAACATTGTGAAGTTTTTTCCTCTCTTGTTATTTAAGTACCTCCATAATAGCCTCTTCATTTTGCCTCTTGGCCCACAAAGACTAAATTATTTACCATCCAGTCCTTCGTTAAAGAGCAGAATTGCCTGGGGTCTTTGCAAAAGACACAGTATCAGCAATCATCTGAGCCCTGACAGCAGCTAAGGGGCGAAGTTGCTTTCGATGTTGGATGGATCCAAGGCCCCTCCAGATTCCCCATCTTTAGGTCGACCTGGTGGCCCTCGTATCAGCTTCACAGCCTCCTACCTGTTGCTTTCTCAAAGGCTTGACCCCAGGAACAAGACGGCCCAGGTGACTCCCAGCCACAGCCCTCCACATCCCTGGAGGCCCTGCCTTCCCTTCCCTCCCTGCAGACAGAGCAGAAAGCTTTTCTCAAGAAGCAAATACAAAACTAACACAACGTTGTAAAGCAACTATACTCTAACAAAAAATTAATTTTAAAAAATAACAAAATATTTTTTAAAGGACATGGCAGTAGTTCACTATTTAAGAATGTTTGTGGCACAGGGAATTATATTCAATATTCTGTAATAAACCATAATGGAAAAGAATGTGAAAAAGAATATATATATAACTGAATCACTTTTCTATATGAGACTACTACAACATTGTAAATCAACTAAATTGCAATTTTAAAAAGATAAATAAGCAAAAGTTCTAAAAACAAAACAACAACAAGCAAAGAAGCAAATATAGTCCCAAAGCCAACCTCTGGGCACAAACCAGATGTCGGGGAAAGAAGTGTGTTTGTTACACGGGGGTAGAGGGCCTATGTGTTCATGATGCTGGTCACAGTTTAACGGTCTCGATGTACACAAATTAAACAGGGTGGATAAATGGCTAGGTTTTACCTTATGTTGCCAATAAATGACTCTCCATCAATAAGAGAAGGCCACTTGCAGGCGGGTGGTAGCCTGCTCTAATTCAACTTCATATTCTTGGGCTGTGGATGATTGTTGGAATTATTCATACCATTGGAAATTTTCATCTGGGTCCATATAGTCTGCGAATTAGACTATCTAGCACATCAAGTGTTTCTTTTAAACTCCTGCATCTGCCTTCTCACCAAAACACTGGCCAAAGCACTAATTTGGCAGCACCTCTGACCCTTTTCCATTCCGCCTGGAGATGTGTATGTGCTCTATTGTTTTAGGAGGAAAAACCCTACTTGCAATGACTTTTTATCTATGTATTTTATGGATAATCACTGTAGCAATGAGATTCATACTCATACTCAACCATATGTTTAAAGTTTTCATTGAATGACTTTGCCAATGTAATTATTTTAAGCTCACCTAATAAAATTTACTACCAACAGTATTACTATAATTTTTATGTCCTTAAAATTTCTCTCACAGACAAAAATATATACACATTCTTCTCAGAGAGTGGCCTCTTGTTAGCATGGTGGGGCTGCAGTTCTTTGATAACAAAACATATGGACTCTATAAAACGGGAGAAGTTAAAGCCCCGGTCCTCAAAGTCTGTTCATAGTTGGGCATTTGGAAGCTATGATTGAAGTGTCACAAGCCACAGCTTCAATACTACCAGGGAGAAGCAATATCTGAGTTGGGGCAACTAATAAAGATGGTTGTGGACACAACACTTTGATGAGTTACTCTGCTTAAATGCTGAGCATAAACAAGGGAAAATGTACCACTGGGATGGATCTGAGCCACCTAAAACTACTAGGAGTAGCAGACTGTCCAAAAAGCTGATTTTTATTTAAATGTGAATACTTTCTCTCCCAAGCCACTTCATCCCTGATCCATAACACCCAATTTGTGGGGAAACCTTGGTCTAGAGCAGCTCTCTCAGCCTTGGCACTACTGACATCTAGACTGGGTAATTCTTTGTTGTGGGCCCTTTCCTGTTCCTTGTAGGATGTTTAGCAGCAACCCTGGCCTCTACCAGTAGCAACTTCCCCCTAGCTGTGACAACCAAAAGTGTCTCCAGACATTGTTAAATGTCCCTGGAAGAGTAAAATCACCCCAGGTTGAGAACCACTTGTCTGAATGAACCACCATCCCTTTCTTCCTCCACATGAACCTCTCCTTGGAGCTGCTTGGGCTTCCTCACACACAGCATGGCTGCAGGATTCCAAGATGGGTCACAAAAGAGTTCTCAGTGAGTGAGAGCTTATCAAGCCTCAGCTTTTATCCTGTTTGCTCAGGTCCCACTGGCCAAAGCAAGTCACATGACCAAGCCCAGTGTCCAAGTGGTATGGGACAACATAAAGGCATGAGCACTAGGTCCACCAGATGTCTACTTCAGTACACTGACTTCTTGGACAGAATGTGGGTTGAGGAAGCCTCCAGGAGAACGTGACACACGTTCAAAGACTCAAGATTCAGAGGATGAAAAGAACATCTACTATGTTTACATATGATCTCAGACAACAAACATATTGTAAAATATTATTTAGGAGAAAATATTAATGGAGAAAATTAAAATGATAAGGTATTTCCATTGCTGACTTCTATTTTCACTGACTCATGGATACAGCTGAAACGGGAAAACGCTGATTTGAGTTTGTGAACTGTTTCTTACCTTATATTTCCTGCCAATCTTTTAGCCAATTTCTGTCTATATAGTGAGAGCTCTAAGTATTTGCTGAATGCATTTATTTTCCACTATCCTAAGGCTGAGAAATGGAAGAAATGGCTCAAATCATATGGCTAGTAAAAGGCAGCAAGGGGATTAGAATGCAGGCCTTCTAGCTCAGTCCTTTGTTCTCTGGAACAGTGCTGTCCAAAAGAAATTTAATGCAAACCATGTCTGTAATTTACATGTTTAGTAGCCATATGTAAAAAGAGTAAAAAGAAACCACTGAAGTTGTCTTAATACACTATTTAATCAAATATATTCCCCAAATACTATTCCTACTACTTATAATCAATATTTAAATTATTGAGATATTTTTCCATATTTATACCAAGTCTTTGAAACATGATGTCAAGTTCACCTATAGCACATCTCAATTTAGACTCACTATAGTTCAAGTAATCAATATCCACAGATGACTAGCAGTTGCCATATTAGAGACAGGATCTCTAGAACACTGGTCCTTAAGATTAAGAGCAGTGCCAAGACACACTGGTTCATCCATTCTATCCTGTGTCTTTATTAGGAGTCTGACAAATAATTTACAGCTAATTATCAAATGCTAATGCTTATAAATAACTTAAAGCATAAGTTAAAATGAATGTAAGTTTATTTTTTGAGTAGTGGCATTTTTCACTCATAATCAAGTATTTCTTCCAATTTTTATTTTGATATCTTTTCCTTTTACTTTCTATTATTTAAAGAAAAATATTTTCTAAGTAATGAACACCCATAGACTGATCGCCTAGATTGAGCAGCTGTCACACTTTTGCTATATTTGCTTCATCTGTTTTTTTTTTCTCAAGTGTTCTACATTACAGTCATTGCATACTGACCTCAAAATTATTTAGTCTGCATCTATAAAAAGATATAGATATCGCACAATAAACAAAGATTAACTCAAAATGGATCAAAGACCTAAATATGAGAGCCAAAACTATAAAATTCTCAGAAGAAAACATAGGTATAAATCTTCATCCCTTGGATTAGGCAATGATTTCTTTATTATGACACTCAAACACAAGCAACAACAACAAAAACAGAGAAGTTGGACATCAAAATTAAACACTTTTGTGCTTCAAAAGACACCATCAAGAAACTGAAAAGACAATCCAACGCATGGGAGAAAATGTTTTCAATCCCTGTATCTGATGAAAGGCTTGTATCTAGAACATATAAATATGACCACAACTCAATAAGAAGACAAATAATTCAAAAACAGGCAAAGGAACCTGCAGCTTTATTCCTAAGTGCCAAAATTTGAAAGAAACCAAGATGTCCTTCAGTAAGCGAATAGATACATAAATT